TACAAATACCCAAAGATATGCATATCTTTGGGTATGGTATTGTCTGTTTTTGAACCACCATCACTGGCTAGTAGATGAACAATTCTTTTCCTTTGTTTATCGGTGAGATTCTCTGGCCATAATCCTGGGTCCTCTGACAATCCCTCATCATTATTACTCTGTCTCTTGGTGTCGTCTCTTTCCTCCTCAATCCTCTCCACATTCTCATCACTTTCGCTTTCCCTTTCATCACTTAATTCAGTTTCTACATCCTCTTCTAATTCTGCCTCTGCTACATGGACACAATACAGACAAAAATGATATAGAATTAGTGTATACAGTAAAACTTATAAAGTAATAACTTACTAACTTATTGAAAACAGTTCAATCAGTGACTGATAAATGCTCACCATGCCTCACTGTCAAACCCTCACTACTAGTGCCTTCATCTGGCCATGATGCTTCTCTTCCTGAAACTGAAATAAAGTAGCTTTAATGGGTTGCAAACAGATACTATATTCCATCATTACAGTGTATAGCTATTACGTAGATGCCTGCATGCCTTTATGTGATATGTGTATATGGCTATTCATATAAAATATATAGTATATCTTATCTTATTTGTATGGACCATGAGTAGGTAAGTTACTTATTTGTTATTGTACAAACATACAACAAAATACTTTTTATGGTTCATTATTATCCACCAATTTAGACTTTGTGGCAAAACCAGAAAGTCTCATTTCACCCTTGTTTACACACTAAGATAATTGTAGAGCTAGAAACCTTTAGACCATTAGACTTATTTACATTATTTTGACCACTAGATGTCACCAGAAAACTACAAATCGGTGCGGGGCGTGTGATTTGTATGGTTATAACCAGATGATCCAATGCAGAGGCCAGTGAGTGACCCGTGACTTATGACTGCAAGACTCACGGACGGACAGATTATGACAATAGTGGGAATATAGGGTACAGGGTTGTACATGAAAATAACTCTTTGCTGCCTGCCTTTGAAGGAGAAGTGGACAGCAGTGTGTGTGAGCTCCCTTTACAGCTGCGCGTCTGTGTGTGTCACTCTGGATAACGTTTTTTTTTACCACGTACACGGCACACTGTTAGCTCTCCGTGAGTTTAGAATACAGAAACAAATGTCTCTGGGTTTTCTCCTGATGTGGCCTTAACACGTCTCTATATACTCACCTCTCGTGTGGAAGAACTGAGTAAGCAATTGCTTGCCCTCATTACACTTTTTATCTTTCTTTTCTTTTCTGAAATCCTGATTTTCCTTTCTTTGGAAAAGACATTTCTATTTCTCCCGCTTCTGCCGCTGTTTGTCTAATAAGTCAACTCGCGGCAGCAACACAGCAACAAGCGCACATGTGGGTCGTACCATTTGATCTTTTGTAAGGGGGTGGCAGGGCCCTGATATAGCATACAAATTTGTTTTTAGAGGAAAACTGAGGTTAAAACGTTGGTTATTTTTATACAGGGCCCCTTTCATTCAAATTGTAATAATATGAATATACCACAATGCCTAATACATATAAATATAAAGACACACTTTAGAGGGCCCCTCCCCGCCTTGGGCCCTGGGTACTCGGTACCCTTTACCCCCCCAGTCCGACGCCCATGCACGTCTGTACCGAACCGAACGGATCAGTGATGAACCGTTGCACCTCTAATTATAAGGCATAATATACCAGTTAGATATTTTAAGTTAGTTTACTTCTCGATGTCTAAAACCTTGTGTTGTTAAGTAAGTAATGTTTTATTTATATAGCGCATTTTACAGACCAAGGTCACCTGAACAACTGTGAATGTGTCTGTTTACTGACACACACTAGTATAACTGTAGTTGTTGATTCACTCATAACAGATTAGAGAACCACTCAAAGTGAGAAACCTCGGTTATAGTTTTATTGAAAACATTTGATCTTTAGCTTCATAACAACCTCCTATAACCTCAGCTTCACCTGCCTTTCTCCTCTTCCTCTCTGTCTCCTCTCCCTCTCTGCCTCCTCTTCCTCACTGCTCTTCCATGGCGTTGCCACCTCTGCCTCCTCTTCCTCACTGCTCTTTCTTCCATGGCGTTGCCTCCTCTTCCTCACTGACCTACTTCTGCAGCTCTGGAGCAGCTGAGCGCTTAATTCTCGTGCCAGTTATAACAGTTTTTCATAATGACGAGAGGGAGAGCGAGATTAGAACATTGCATTGTGGGACCCAAGGAGGGAGGAGAAGAGGAGAAGAGGGGGAGGGAGGAGATAGGACAGGGGAGGGGGAGGAGCGGGTAGGGAGGGGAGGGAGGGTGCAACTTGGATTTAGAGCCTTCACTACATTATAGACAATGACGACAAAGAAAATGCATCGATTCAAAATGGTCAAATTCATTCATTTCTCAAGAGAGACAAAATAGAGAGACCAGAGAGAGAGAGACCAGAGAGAGAGAGACCAGAGAGAGACCAGAGAGAGAGAGACCAGAGAGAGAGACACAATAGAGAGAGACCAGAGAGAGAGACCAGAGAGAGAGAGACCAGAGAGAGAGAGACCAGAGAGAGACCAGAGAGAGAGAGACCAGAGAGAGACCAGAGAGAGAGAGACCAGAGAGAGAGACACAATAGAGAGAGACCAGAGAGAGAGACCAGAGAGAGAGAGACCAGAGAGGGACCAGAGAGAGACCAGAGAGAGACCAGAGAGAGAGAGACCAGAGAGAGAGACACAATAGAGAGAGACCAGAGAGAGAGACCAGAGAGAGAGAGACCAGAGAGAGAGAGACCAGAGAGAGAGAGAGACCAGAGAGAGACCAGAGAGAGACCAGAGAGAGACCAGAGAGGGACCAGAGAGAGACCAGTAAGAAAAGAGCAGGGCTGCAAATAACAAGTATTTTGATTACCAGCAGTTAAGATCCTGAAATGTCAGTAAATGAGGATCTTTGTTCAGCGCTGGTGACGTATGGAACTGAGACACTGGAAACACGTGAAACCGCTAAAGCTACAGATGTTATTTATAGATGTGTTTGTTTATTGGAGCATGTTCATGGTTTTAAAAATAGACGTTTGTTTCTCTCATGACACAAACCAATGTTCAGCCAAGAGGATCACTCTAACCTACATCACCTCCAGAGACCAGAGGGAGACCAGAGAGAGAGACCAGAAGGAGACCAGAGAGAGACCAGAGGGAGACCAGAGGGAGACCAGAGAGAGAGACCAGAGAGAGACCAGCGAGAGAGACCAGAAGGAGACCAGAGAGAGACCAGAAGGAGACCAGCGAGAGACCAGAGAGAGAGAGACCAGAGGGAGACCAGAAGGAGACCAGAGAGAGACCAGAGGGAGACCAGAAGGAGACCAGCGAGAGACCAGAGAGAGACCAGAGAGAGACCAGAGAGACCAGAGAGAAACCTGAGAGAGAGAGACCAGAGAGAGACCAGAGAGAGACCAGAGAGAGACCAGAGAGAAACCAGAGAGAGAGACCAGAGAGAGACCAGAGGGAGACCAGAGAGAGACCAGAGAGAGACCAGAGAGAGGCATCAGTTCTGGTTTTCTGGCGCCTCGGGGCCCATGTTTACATCATTAACCCGCGGCGTAAAGGCCACGTCACTTTGTCTGAGGTTCAATGAGAGCCACTCAAAGGTTACACTGACAGCTGCAGTCTCCGGTCCTGATCCCGGAGGACCAGGAGATCTGTCCGGGCTCTATCAGCTCCATGGAAGGACGGAGAAATTTGGATCTTCTTCAGATTTTACCATCTAAAAACATGGCCAGAATCCAAATAATATGGTGTCTAAAGCAGACTTGGAGAC